GAACAAAATTCAATGCTTTCATACAAATAATTGAATGAAATGCAATTTACAATTTTTACAAGTATTAAACAAATGAAGCAACAATTAAATGTACAACGTTTACGGATCACACATGAATTCTCACAAATCACAGGCTAATTTATTCATCCAAATTTCTATCCATGCTTAGTTGATTCTATCAATCTTTTGTCCTACACTCAAAAATTCAATGTATTTTATTGCAAAAATGCTGCAATCGCCCCTGCAATGGAATAATAAACGTGTTAGTTCGATAAAAACTAAGTTTCAAAGTTAAAAACAAAATATAAATACTTACGATCTCGACTGCCTCACCATCGTCTGGTCCACAACGGTGGCTAGCTTGTCATTAATATTCACGCAGCCCGCTCGGGCAGCCATCAACGGAACGATCACTGCAAGGGCTCCAAGAAAGTCTTGAGCTGGCCCTGTGTCAAACATGAATGGTTGAAGTCGTACACATACATCGTGGAGTCAGTAAAAACAATCTCCACGGCAATGATATGCTGATTCACGATCGCTGGAACATATATACGTGTACAAGCCTCCCATGCCTTTCCCCCGAGACTTGGCAACATCCCTACGACCCATTCGGCCATATATTCTGGTAGTACGTACTCATTACCGGTACTTTACAGCTGTCAATGCTCAATGTCAACAGTACCAAAAAACTCGGTGCTCAGTATGATTCGGCCAGGAATGTCGAATGATTGTGGATATCACAGAGCTCGATCTCGCAATAATTCCATGGCCATGTCGATGTGCTACATCAAGAAACACATATAAAAAACAAAATAATTATGTATACATGAGAAATAACAATATGACTATTTCACTTACATCATCGGCGAGCCACTTATATGTATTCGAGATCCTCTTCTTTCCAACAATGTGACTATCTCTAAAAAAAAGACAGAAATTGTTAAAAAAAGATACAGATGAGTTAGCATAGCGTACTTCACTGAAGTACTAAAATTGTAAAATACTTACTCAAGCTTAATCATTCTCCACTCTGTCTCAAACGCTTTCCATTTAGCTGTGTCTACCTCCCGGAATAGATTGGAGTACATCCCGTCGACGAATGTCCTCTTCTTAGCCTCGGCCATGAATGGAGAAACGACGTACTGCGAAGGCGCCGATCCGCTCTGCCAATGTGCCCATCTGCTCTGCCGACTCTCGGCGCATCTCGCCCATCTGACCAGCTATAAATACTGTCATGCGGTCATACAGATCAGTGGACGGTGGAGAAGGTTCCCTGATCAGCGATGATGCCTACGGTGGGGTTAGGCGCTCAACGGCGGCGGTGAGGCCCTCGACGGAAGTTATCGTCGATCTATTGGACCGCTTTCCTACACAAATTGGAACATTAAAAGTTATTATATTTAATGAAAATTGGCTAACGCATAGAAAACTGTAATAAAAAAATTATATTCA